TTTGCGGGCACGCTTAGAGAGCGAGCCGGGGAGGTGTGCGGGCGACGGGACGCGCTGGCCGCCAGGTGGCGCTTGCGGTGCCTTTTTTTTTCCACCCCCTCCGCTTCTTTTTTCTCCCCGTGGTAGCAAGAAATCCCAAGTGTTCCTTCAGCAGCAGCCTGAAAGACACAGGCTGCCCGAAGGAGGCTCCTCAGTCACACAAAGCTGCACGCGCACGAGACAGGAAAACGTCCCTCTTAAGGTAGGGAAGCGCATCTGTCTTTGCCTCGGTGATAAGGTATCCAGAGGCTTGTGCCTCCGCTGGGCTTTGCTTAATAATCGAAACCTTTAATTTCTCGCCCTCGTGCCTGCCAGCGGAGAACAACTAAACCCAAGTCAAAATTTTCCACCTCAGCTGCCCCCACTAGCAGGAGGGTCAAAGAGCCTGGCGAAGGTCGCGGCTTTTCTTCTCCCCGACCGCGAGGTGTCGCCCAAACCACAAGCGCTTTTGCTTGCTAAATGGAAGGCTTTAAGGTGCAGAAGAGCTAGGCAATAAAGTTGCGGTCCTGTGGTTTTCTTCACTATAAACAGCCAGCAGAAGAAGATTTTTCTGAGTGAATAACGAAGGGAGAGTGCTCCCCTTACAGCCTAACGCGTGGCTGCTTTCGACGCAGGTCTTTGCCAGCAGTTTGCTGTGCCAGGCGAACGCAGGCCTTGGTCTCCTTATGGCACGTTTCCTGGCAATCTTTGCTTCGGCCATCACCTTACTGAAAACCACGTGTCCAGGGTTTGGCGCATGCTAAACTGTTAAATGAGCTGGAGTTTGGGCGTAAGAACAAGCTCCTCCACTGTACCCCCAGTGCCAGGCATGCAATAATATAAAATGTTTCACATTCTTATTTAACTGATATTTCAAAACAATAGGGTGTCTTGGTTACAAAATAATGATTTCACCATGTGAAAACTCTCTTCAGAAATGAATCTCTACAGGAGAGGTAGAACTTAGCATACTGTTTTGTAACCCTGACTGCTACTATAACTATTTAATGAAAAATCAAAGATCCTAATGCAAAGCATATGTTAAAGTGTCAAGTACAGGTTTTAAAAGGAAACTTCTGTGCTGTTTCAGTGTGGAGGAAAGTGTGGGGAGTATGATGACAAATTTGCTCATAACTCTCTTATAAACAGTTGTTTACAGGTGGCAGAATCAAACCCCTCTTCATTGTAACAGGAGGAACACTCTGTAATAGCAGCGTTCACAAGCCAATGCGTTAGAGTTTGTATGTTGTGTTACTGACTGCAGAAGGAGATTCCAGAAAGATTCAGCTTGGTTAAGCCAAAACCACAGAACAAAAATATTGTAAAAGGAAGGGCTGAGCAGCTAAGCAAGCTAGGAGATAAAACACTTTTCAGACTTCTGTTACTGTTGCTTGGTACTTGCAATCTGGAAAACAACATTCCTTTTTGGGAACTACAAGTCCCAAAGTGCACTGTGGGAAGAGTATGCGTTGTACCAGCTAGTGCCCAGCACAAATTCCCAAATATGGATAAGGAATCAATTTTGAAAAAGACTAACAGTCACTGAATATTCCCCACTGAGAATCAGAAAAGGAGTGAGACAGCATGGAATGAGGTAAGTTTGTAATATGCAAAGATATTCAACAATGTCTTTTGAGGAGAGCAGCCCAAAATATTCTATTCCTTAGAAGGACAGTTCAGTGGTGTAGTGGTGATGCTGGAATTGCTCGCTGTGATGATGAATGTGGTTTTTTGAAAATGAGGATTGTTGTTTCAGGTGGGGAAGTAAGCAGTGGGAGCAGCTGTGCTGCAAAATGAGTCAGATCCTGTTTTCTTGCAGGTGCTCTTTATTAATAAAGAACTACAGACAGATATGTGAGCTGCAACAATAATGCAGTTGTGTTAGAGGTACAGAAAAGGCAGAGAGAATGGGAGCTCTTCTAAACAGAAGATCTGAGTGAGCTGCAGTCTGGCTGTTTAAGAAGCTAATAGGGAACAGGCAGCCTTGTAATAACAACTATGGGTAAAATTAATTTCTCTGTAAAGCATGGTAGAATGTTTTTGTACTTCACCCCTTATCCTAGAGGGGACAGTGTGGTGCCTTGAAGGCCAAACCTCTCACAGTTCTCTAACCGGCAAATAACAGCCACTCAGTAATTCAGTTAAACCGTTGTTTAAGATCAGGTTAGGAGCAATTACTTATTTCATTGGCAATTTGTTAACAAGCAAAGTGGAAAATCTTCTGAGGTCAAATAGAATTGTCTTAGTGGAGACCAGAGACAATCTAACGGCAAATTCAGATCTGTAACGTCTTAGTGGTCGACTTTGGCAGGGACAGAATTGGCTCCTGCCTCCCTCTCTCGTCCCTACAGTCAGACGTCTCTCTCATGCATCTGAGATGCAGTGTGTGGCCGCTCAGTGACGTCAAGTGCAGCTGGTCAGCCTGATCTGTCATCCCAGCAACCTACTTCTACTATGTAGGGTCATGGAGCAGGAGGGTAGGCATGGCACAGTACTGCAAATGTGGGAGATACAGTCCAGCTGTGGAGAGAAGTGAGAGGCAGTTTGGGCTGGTGAACTAAACTGTCACGTGGACACTCTTTGCAGGATAAGAATGATGCTATTTTTCCATCTTTCCTTAAATGTAAACAGTATAAATTGTTTTTAAACTTGGAAGAGTCACTCTTGTATGTGACTATAGCCAACACGCAGGGCTATACCACTATAAATATATTGGAGGAAATCAACATGTTTGGCTGTGCTTCTGCTTCCTGGAGAGCAGTTTCTAGTAATGAGAAAAGGTAAATTCAAGAAAACTTACTCTTAGGAACAAGTAGTAAGAGGGAGCATCACAATGCATTGTGTCGTGGGGGGAGGGGGGGTGTTGATGCCTGGCTCCTTGACTCTCATCTGAAATCTAAGGTTTTTCTTTTTGCTGCCATCTTGATTTTCTATAGGAAAAGAAATGAAATGAGTTGCAGAGGGACCTTCTTTATGTTTTCACCAGCTGTGAATTCACATTCTCCTCCTCCCACTGCTGTGAAGCAGTTCAAGGAGAGTTAGGGATACAGTCACCTGTAACAGGGCCTCCTGAGGTAAATCGCCTCAAGTATTAATCCAGATCTGACTAGCGTGGGGTCACAGGGCCAGAGAGCTGGCAATCAGTCTTTTCTGTGGTCTCTTCTGTGTCAGTAGGCTGTTAATATGAGATTAGCAGCATTAGGGAGACTTTGAGCTAGAAACAGTGGGGCTCTATGGTCTGATTTTAAGAGAAAGAAACCCACTTACACCTAAATAAAAATGAATAGAAGATCTGGAAATATAAAAGGCATTATAAACACAGTTGAACAAAGTAAGGTCTGTAGGAAAGCTGTGGGGTTTTAAAGATGAAGTTGCTTATAAACTATGATGTACTATAATAAAGCAATGACGTCCACAGAGACTGCAGATCTCAACAAGCAGCACTCCCTCTTCATCACCATGTGCTTTTGTTTGGGTCTGGCTAGGCCATTAGACACTGGAACTTGTAATTTGCTTATGTTTCCTATGAGCAATACATCCCGATTAAATATGAAGATAGGTGGCTCAGTTCCCTTCCATTAACTCAAATTCAGGGCTCCCTCTAGCTTCTGTCAGGCTAGCATTAGAGCCCTCAGTTGTGTAAAGGTGAGCACTTTCTGGTTATGCATCTAACAGATGGTCAAGTCTGAAGTCTTCTTTATTTTACTTAAGATAGAATCAAACAAATATTTTATTGTTTTTTTTTTTAAATAAGACTAGTAAGGGGTGCCTCACCTGATTTTGAGACCACCTGCTAATGTTCCTAGTTACTGCTTTTTAAAGCACTCTCCTCTTAACTTTGGCTGCATGAAAACCCATATAAACAACAGATGAGGATGGCAGAGAGAAGACGGTAAAGATAACTACAGGGGTAGTCATTAGCTACAATCCAACTAGGTGCGAATATATCCTGTGACATTAAAGTCTGAGCAAATCCCTGTTTTAATCTTCATCTTAAAAACACGCTGTGTGAGGTACAAACACCAGACACTGGAAAATTGGAGAAACAGAGGTATTTGCACAACTTGTAGAGCTGGAATTTTACTAATATAATAGCAAAAGCTTTTCGAAAAGAAGGGTGATTTTAAGTTGATCGTGCCTCGTTCTTTGCTCTGTATCAAACAAAATACCAAAATACCAAACCTGGCATCCTAGCATGCAAAGAATAAATATTGTTACTTTTTATTTGATTGTTACCAGTTATAATAGTAATAATTAGG